CAAGTTAAAGGGAAATTCATAAGTATGGAAATAGCTTAGTAATATCTGTGTTACTGGAAGCCACCAATAGCAAAGCAAATCTGACTAGTTTCATTCCTGTCTACTTTCCCATGCCCTGTCTGTGTCCTGACACCAATCACATGCAGTTGATTTCTCTGTGATTCTTCTCATACTTAGGGCATATCCACAGACTGACTGCCCAATTCCTCCTTTCAGGAGAGGTGACAGTGGGCCAGCAACTGTGTTACTCAAGGACAGGGAGTCAGCTCCTGACTAGAAACCCATCTTTTTTTTTTTTTTTTAAGATTTTATTTATTTATTTGTTTGTTTGTTTATACAAGAGCTGGGGTACAGGCCAGATGCATGGGAGGGTGACAGGATTCACCAGAGACAGAGTGGGTAACAGAACAGGTAGACTGATGAAATACACTGCTGAGGGGAGCAGTGAGTGCGACAGAAGAGTTCTACCGTGCCATGTGGGGCCCTCACTGGCTGGCTGGGATCTAACTGGCACTGCAGAGGCTGTGGACAGCTTCACAGCACTGTGCTCAACCACCTGCACCACCGGGGGGGCGGGGGCGGCTAGAAACCCATCTTAAAGGAGGCTGTGGGGAGAAGTCATCCCTGACTAAGTTTGCATCAAACTAGATCCATCAGGAGTGTTCTGTGATCAGAAGCTAAGCTAAACATATCAATGTCCCAAAGGTCCCATCTTCTGTTACCACCACGCTGGAATTTCAGACATCAGCATGACCATATCTTGAGACTATATCCTGACATGACATTGCAACGAGATCCACCCATATATACATCTTTTAAAGAAGTGTCATCATGGCAGCAGCAAGAACATTGTGAGGAATAAGATACCTTTAGGAATCTGAAGAAAATAATGGGCCCTTTCCTCCAGAAAAATAGCAAACACTCCATAAATTTATGGACAAATTCAGGGGCACAAACTGGGATCAGTTACACTGAGCTCCCCGGTTTTGTGTCAAATGACCAAGCATCCTTTATGATAAGTCAAGTGGCCCAGACATTTGTACTTCTTGACACCACACTCAGAAATTATTGCAGTGACTCTTACATCACCTCTGGCAGAGACTTACTGGAAACATGGGATAGATATGAACACAAGTACATAGTCCCTATTTACTTATTTGTTTTTTGAAATGGAGTTAATCTGAAACTTTTAAGTGTGTGTGGGGGTGCAAGGAGTATAGTTGTGATTAAAAGAAAGTACACAAAACGTGAGAGGCTCTAACTCAAAGTTACACCAGCCTAGGCCTATTTCTAATGGGCAGAATGGGGCAAAGGAAAGTCAAGAAGGGAGGGGCCAAGATCAAAATTTATACAATCAACTTCAAATGCTCCAAAGTGATGGAATCATAACGTTTCACAATGCCTTCTTCTTTTCAGTGACTCTGTCGTGGAATACGAGGAGTTGCTCTCTACTACAATTTTCTGGTAAGCATCAACCACCATTCTCAGTCACTTGCTGGGTAGAAAAATTCCCAAAAAGAAAGGGAATTATTTCAGTGGTTTTGTTTTTAAAAACTTCTGGCCCTGGGCTTCCCTGATGGTGCAAGGAGTTAAGTACTGCGTTGTGAAGATATCTGCAGCCACTGCAGCATGAGTTTACTCCCCAGCAGGCCAGGGAAAAACCCACATGGCACAGCAGACCTCTCCTGCCTTGCCTGCTGCTCCCCTCAGCAGTGTATTTTAGTCAGTCTGTCTGTTTTGCTCCCCACTCTGTCTCTGGTGAATGCTCTCACCCCCTGAACCTATGGCCTGTATGCCAGTTCTTGCATGCACAAATACATAAATCTTTGAAAAAAAATAAATTAGAAAAATAAAACTTCTGGCCCTTCCTACTTTACAACTTGAAATATAGACTAATGTGAGAGTTCTTTCCGGTACATTTGCTGTTCAAAACAAATAAACCAACAGTTTTGCCTTCAAACACTCATTATTAGTCCTTAAATACAAAGCATTTAAATTATTTGTGAGCTAATTCAACAAGACTGCTGCAATTATGTCAACTGAGAAATTGAAGACCATTCTTTTAAACCAAAATTTCAGCATACGCATGTGAGAAAGGCATAAAAGCTTTCACCAAAGGTCATGTGCTGGGTTCTCAGTGTAATACTTGTATAGAATGGTATAAAAGGGATTAAATGAGGCACAGCAGACCTCTCCTTTCTTGCCTGCTACTACTCTTATCAGTGTATTTCCATAAATCTGCTTTTTCTGTTCTTAAAAAAAAATAAATAGAAAGAAAAGGGGTTAAATGAAAAAAAATGATTGTAGTCTTTGAAATCCATATTTCTAATTGGCTTAATTTGTTCTCTCAGAGAGATAGATGATAAATCAATAATAGAAAGATAGATAGATAAATTGATGATACATTTATACACACATACATGCATACCTACATATATATAGATTATATATCATTAACTTTATACACTGTGTTGAAATTCTGCATAAAGAGATCATCAGCATATGGGAACAGCTTATGTAATTAAGCTGTTGTCATAGCACTAGAAATGGCTTTTAAGGAATAGAAATATAAAGCCTAAATTATAATATCATTATCCAACTCTGCTTTTGACCTGATTTATTGCAACAAAAATTGGAAAATTCAAAGGTGGTGAGGAATATAGAAAGAGCCCAGTGTTTTTTCTAAGGAATAGCTAAAAACTGCCAGAGTTTATAAAATTAATTATAACTATAAATATAGTTTAGTTCATTATAGAGTTTATATTTTGCCTTGTCACAATCACCAGATATATTAGATTTATATCAATCACTACTGTGCAAAATATTTTTCTATCAGACACACCAAAAATTTATGACACACAAAAAGTCTAAATTTTACTCATAAATACTGCATTTGCATGTGTTAATGATCCTGCTGCTTCTAAATATTTTATAATGACAGAAGTTATAGTTGCAGTTTAAAGACACTACCAGCTGAAGGTTTTACAGGTAGGGGATGGGAATGAGAAAATTATTCCTGTTGCTAAAACAAGACTAATTATAATAAAGTAAAAATCAAAATCAACAAGCAACTATAAACTAGAGACACACTACAGGGGGGCAGCAGGGAGAGGAAGGATTAGGGTCAAAATAAGGGGGGGTGCAATTGTATGGGGAATATAACCAAAATGAAAATGCATGCATTGTTAAAAAATGAAAATAATGTAAGAATTATATAAAATAAAATATTAAAAAAATAAAACAAGTAATCCTGCCAAAAGAAGAAGATATCTGGATAACTAATGTACATGTGCTGTTGCCACACCTGTGCAACTGCTGTAGACATGACCACTATGACACTGGTTTCACTGGACACAGCAATATGACTTCCCTCTAGCTTTACTTGACTTTGGCAAATTCTTTATTTTGTTCTCAGAATTCCCAGTTTTTCCTAGCAAAATCAGACCTATGACTAGAAGATATTTAGCTGTTTCCCTTGGCCTTCCCTCATTTTCTATAAGACAAGGTGGGGGGTGGGCAGCCTCCCTGGTGGTGCAGGCGGTTGAGCACAGCACTGTGAAGCTGTCCGCAGCTTCTGCAGCTAGGTTCGATCCCTGCCAGCTGGGGAGATACCCACATGGCACGGCAGACCTCTCTTGTCTTGCCCACTGCTCCCCTCAGCAGTGTGTTTCTGTCGGTCTGCCTGTTCTGTTCCCCACTCTGTCCCTGGTGAATCCTCTCACCCCCCACACCTCTGGCCTGTACCCCAGTTGTTGTATGCATAAATAAATAAATCTTTAAAAAATAAAGTATCACCAAATTAAGGGGTTTAACAAATGAATACAAGAAATTCCAATAACAAACTTTTAAAAGTAATCCTTATACAATAAAGTTAAACCAGCATTTAAATTGTACTGTGCAAGGCACTACTCTTTAAATGTAGTATTTTATAGAGGGACTTGGCAATGAAATTAGAGTATGGGCTGATGCTATCTGAGGATCATCATTGATAGAAAAAACTTTTATGTAAACCACTTCAGTTAAAATGAACAAGAGCATCTATAAATCATACAGGGAACACAGTACTTAAAATTTGTTGTTTTTTTTTTTTTTTTTTTCTGGGTATAAAGATGCACTCTTATTTTGGAAAATTTATAGAATTCAAAAAACTCACAAAAAAGATACTTTAAAATAATAATGTAACCATATAAAACTGACCTCTAAGAACAGTTTTTTTGTCCAATGAATATATAATAATCTCAGATTTAATCTGTGCAATTGTAACTATTCTTTTTTTAAGATTTATTTATTCATGCATACAAGAGCCGGGGTATAGGCCAGAAATGTGGGGGGCAACATGATTCACCAGAGACACAGTGGGGAACAGAATAGGCAGACCAAGCGAAATACACTGCTGAGGAGAGCAGTGGGTGAGGTAGGAGAGGTCTGCTGTGCCATGTGGGTTGCTCCCTGGCTGGCTTCGTGCTGCAGAGGCTTCAGACTGCCTCATAGTGCAGCGTTTAACCCCTTGCACCACAAGGGAGGCCCTGCAATTGTAACTATTCTTGAGAAACAGTAAACTCCTTGTCATATAATGCATTATAATTACCGCTGCTGTTCTTATGAGTCCACTTCTGAGTCTGCTCTGAAATGAGTAAACATTGTAGTTAGTGACTATAAAAGCCAGCATCCTCTCTTGTGCCTCTGTGCTGTACTTGTGTATAAGCAATAATGCACAAATTGATACTTTACTGCATGTAGCAGAAATAATAGGCTATGAAAATTATCACACATTTGGAGATTCAAATTTTGCTTGTGCATGTTGATTTCTATATTTTCTTCCTCATCTTTATTATGTTAGTTTTTTAGTAACAAAATATGTTTTATTTCTTAGTATTATACATGAAAACTGTCATTTTTTATAGATATTTTTACAAGAGAAAACCTTTCCATCCTGCCCTTACACAGACAGGTCGATTTTCATTGAAAACGACTTCAAGCTGGTTCTAATATTTACTCACTTATGCAGGTGCGTTCATCAGCATGGAGTCTGTATCCCGTATCACATTCACAGTGGAAGGTGCCCAGAGTGTTAATACAACGCTGCTGGCAGCCTCCATTCACCACCGCACATTCATCGACATCTAGAGGAGGAAGACAGATGGCCAGGATTACAATGTCATTCCAATGTCAGCTTCAAAGAAATGACACAATATTTCTTTGATACACAGTATGTGTTATATTGTACAAAGGCACCGTCTCTGTGGCCACAAATCTTTGCTTGTTTGATGTATTTTACTCCACAGTGTAAGCAAGAAAGTGTGGATAGAAACTTTATTGGACTTTTTAAAGCTAAGCAACAATGAGCATTGGGATTGCCTCATAATTTTCTATTGCTTAATTAGACAGATTTGTGATAGAGATATTTCCATGAAGAAGTAAAATTGGAGGGGAGAGGTACAATGAGCCACTCTATCTGGAACAGCACACATTTGTAGATAAACACCTATAATTGATCTAACACAGCTGAATTAAGCCACTAATAGAATTAAGACCTTGACTCTCCTTCTCATGTGCTATAAACATTAGGGAACATCAGGGAAGAGACAGATAAACTTAAATAAAGCATGATGTGGAGTTTTTAAAATTATATCAAGGAAACTCCCCGGTGGTACAAGGGGTTAAGACTCAACCTATGAAGCTGTCCGCAACCTCTGGAGGGCGAGTTTGATCCCCGGTCAGGGAGCTACCCACATGGCACAGCAGACCTCTCCTGTCTCGCCCGCTCTCCCCTCAGCAAGGTACTTCAGTCAATCTGCATGTTCTGTTCCTCACTCTGTATCTGGTGAATCCTCTCATCCCCCACAACTCTGGTCTGTACTGCAGTACTTGTATGCATAAATAATAAATAAATCTTTAAAAAATTATATCAATACATTTGCTCTATTCAATTTCTTTCTTTTCACTCAGACTTCTGGTTACTGACATAAACATGCTAATGTGAGAGTTTACTAAAACTTTAGAAAACAGAAAGGAGATCAAGACTCTTGGTCACCTATGCCTTATGATCACAGTTATGATTAATGAATATAATATTCCTCTTCCATTAGAAAAGAGTGATAACTCGGGCCTCCCCGGTGGCGCAGCGGTTGAGCGCTGGACTGCGAAGCTACCCGCTGCCTCTGCAGTGCGGTTCGATCCCCGGCTGCTCCCCGGCCACCAGAGGAGGGTCCCGCATGGCGCGCAGACCTCTCCTGCCGCCCACTGCTCCCCTCAGCAGTGTACTTCGGTCCTTCTGCCTGCTCTGCTCCCCGCTCTGGCTCTGGTGAATTCTCTCACCCTCCCGCGCTTCTGACTGTACCCAGTGCTTGTATAAACAAAACAAACAAACAAACAAATCATAAATAAATAAAAATACATGCCTCTTTAAAAAAAAAAAAGAAAAAAAAAGAAAAAAATGTGATAACTCAATACCTCTTTGTACTTCTTTGTACTCTCCGTAATCAGCACTTAGTTTTCCAAACTCACAAAAAGAAGACATCCATATATAGAGTAAGTTTTCAAGGTAATCAGCAAATTAACAGCTTTGAAATTGTTTTGCTTGGAGAATTATTTTACTTGAAATATGGTTTTTGCCAGGTATAAAAATAAAAATCAGGGATAGACACGGAGCTTGGCGAGGGAAGGCACGAGTACCGTGCAGGGAATGTCTCTGACTTACCATGCTTCCAAACCCAGATATTCCCTCAGAGAATAAGTGGTCACTAAAATGCAGGATCTTACATCCACAGAGTAAGATTCTTACTTGACATCAACTTTCAGAAGGAATACTATTGTGCTATCTCATCATAGATCTTTTTTTTCAAGATTTATTTATTTGTTTGTTTGTTTGTTTATACAAGCACTGGGTACAGTCAGAAGCACGCGGGAAGGTGAGCGAATTCACCAGAACCAGAGCGGGGAGCAGAGCAGGCAGAAGGACCGAAGTACACTGCTGAGGGGAGCAGCGGGCGGCAGGAGAGGTCTGCATGCCATGTGGGACCCTTGCCAGCAGCCGGGAATCAAACCGGCGCTGCAGAGCCTGCGGGTAGCTTCGCAACCCAGCGCTCAACCGCTGCGCCACCAGGGGAGGCCCCTCATCATCGATCTTTTTAACTAAAACTGACTATATTTCTAGTGAGTAATTTGTACTGTAATACAATCTAGAGGATTTATCCAGAGGAAAGCAAAGGAGTTTTCTTTAATTTGGCATTGACTTTTTATAAAAAGAAAAAATATATATGCAGAATATTTGCTACAAAATAAGATCCACATTTTAAATTTATTAGTTGAATGTTATATACATTTTACACAATTTAGTATTTCATTTCTAAAATTAGGTATTCTGGGGTAATTTCTGATTTTTTTTTAAAAGAGTCTTATTTTAGGGGCCTCCCCAGTGGCGCAGCGGTTGAGCGCTGGGTTGCGAAGCTGCCCGCGGCCTCTGCGGCGCCGGTTCGATCCCCGGCTGCTCCCCAGCCACCTGAGGAGGGTCCCACATGGCGCGCAGACCTCTCCTGCCACCCGCTGCTCCCCTCAGCAGTGTACCTCGGTCCTTCTGCCTGTTCTGCTCCCCGCTCTGGCTCTGGTGAATTCTCTCACCCTCCCGCGCTTCTGACTGTACCCAGTGCATGTATAAACAAAACAAACAAACAAATAAATAAATAAACATGCCTCTTAAAAAAAAAAAAAAAAGAGTCTTATTTTAGAGATAAGCACTACTGATGTTTCAATGTGTTAGAATTTTAATTAAAATTTGAGTGCGATAAACAATCCTCTAAGTCTCTTTTTTACAGACTCATGGCAAACAGAAATCTCCATTTGTTACTTATACTTTATGCAGGGATTTAACATTTATGCTAGCTAAAATTTTGTCTTGCAGCTTTTGAGTATTAGTCCTCATGTTGGAGAAATAATTTTTGATTATTAATTTTGTCAATTTCTCGATTAGATATCCTCCTTGTTCTTTTATTTTAGGTATCCAAATAAAACCATTAACACCCAAAGGTAATATGTTTTAGATAATAAAGTATCAATACTTGCTATCAACAAAAATTACAATCATATACCATATATATATTAAATATATGTGTCTTAATGGATGAACAGAGAGAAAAAGGATTATTTCTGAGGAGGAAGAAAGGTATCTAGATTGGTTGTCGTGGGGGAGTGTTGGACAGGAGATTTTATCCATATCTATTTTTTACATCACAAATTTATTCATGTATTACTTGTATAATAAGAAATTACCCATCAAACTTTAGTACTTTTCTTTTTTTTTTTAAAGAAACATTTTTTTTTAAAGATTTATTTTTATTTATTTATACAAGCACTGGGTACAGTCAGAAGCGCGGGAGGGTGAGAGAATTCACCAGAGCCAGAGCGGGGGTCAGAACAGGCAGAAGGACCGAAGCACACTGCTGAGGGGAGCAGCGGGCGGCAGGAGAGGTCTGCGCGCCATGTGGGACCCTCCTCCGGTGGCCGGGGAGCAGCCGGGGATCGAACCGGCACTGCAGAGGCAGTGGGCAGCTTCGCAACCCAGCGCTCAACCACTGCGCCACTGGGGAGGCCCAAACTTTAGTACTTTTCTGAGAAAAGAAACCAAATTAGTGCAAAGAAGAAAAAGCTTTGGATTTCTTCCAAAGACAAGAATGGACCTTGATTTTAAAAATGAGCCACGTTTTTATATGTTTTGGCAGGTTTATTTTTTTTTAAGATTTATTTATTTATGTATACAAGAGCTGGGGTATAGGTCAGAGATGTGGGGGGTGAGAGGACTCACCAGAGACAGTGGGGAACAGAACAGACAGATTGACTGAAATACACTGCTGAGGGGAGCAGCGGGCGAATCAGGAGAGGTCTGCTGCACCATGTGGGTTGCTCCCTAGCTGGCTGGGATTGAAGATCGAACTCATGCTGCAGAAGCTGAGGATTGCTACATAGTGTGGTGCTTAAGCCCTTGTGTCATGAGGGAGGCCCTATGTTTATATTCTTAATTGGCCCCAAAATGTTTATTAAAGTAATGCAACAAAATAAAAACATATACCTATGCACATGCACAAACAAGTCATGTCTGTACTGTGAGTCATATAGTCTTGAAGAAACTATCCTGGTATTGAAACTTCTTAGCCTGTAAAATTGCCTCTTTGAGACTCATTCTCCTCACCTATAAAGTGACACAGTAGTGACTGCCATCTGTATTATGCTGTGATTTAATTTTTTTTCTTTTCATATTCAAGCACAAGATTTTGGAATAGGTTGTTAACCCTTGAGATGATGTGTAGAGATTAAAGATCTAATAATTTTATTGATTAAATAATAAGTCTAACAACATAGGTTCTGAAATGAGAGTGCATAATTAAAGCAGTGAGCAATACTGAACTCAGGGAAGGAAAAATCTCATTGGGCTAGACTCATGAGGGAATTTTTTAGTTAAAAACTGTGATTGGGAACACGGAGAAGAAAGTGCTGCCCTTAAGGTATAATGGTTTCAATGTACAGTGTGTGAGAATCAGTATTAGATAAACCAGGTTGGAGAATAAGGTTACAAAGAAAATAAAGTCAAAAAACAAGCATAGACTTTTCTTTTAATTAATTTGGATAACAAAGTCTTCCTCTTCTAATTTATAATGCAATATAATTCTGGATAGTTTAAGACATGATAGGTTGTCTTCACACAGTAGGTATGCAAACTTATCAGTTAAAAAAAAAATCAATCATTTATAGGGTACCAAATACAAATCTGTGCCAAATACAAAGTAATTGGTTTGACTTCCTTTTTGCTTTTTTCCCTTTCAGAATACACTGATTTTTTTTTTAAAGATTTATTTATTTATACAAGCACTGGGTACAGTCAGAAGTGCGGGAGGGTGAGAGAATTCACCAGAGCCAGAGCGGGGAACAGAACAGGCAGACTTATGAAATACACTACTGAGGGGAGCAGCGGGCATGGCAGGACAGGTCTGAGCGCCATGTGGGAATCTCGCCGGCTGGCTGGGGTTTGAACCGGCGCTGCAGAGGCTGCGGGCAGCTTCGCAGCCCAGCGCTCAACCACTGCACCACCAGGGAGGCCCCAGAATACATTGAATTTTTTATTGTATGGGCA